CCCCCCCTGCGGGGGCCCCCCGGGGGCCCCCACCACAGGGGGCCTCCCAGGGGCCCCCACCACAGGGGTTCCCCCAGGGACCCCCACCACAGGGGGCCCCCCAGGGACCCCCACCACAGGGGGCCCCCCAGGGACCCCCACCTCAGGGGGGCCCCCCGGGGGCCCCTCTCATTAGGGCCCTAGGGGGCCCTTGGGAGTCTTAGGGGGGCCTCGTCGGCCCCCTATGAGGGTACTAGGGGGGCCCTTAGGGAGCCTTAGGGGGGCCTAGGGGGCCATACAGGGTACAAGAGGGTACTAGGGGGGCCCTAGAAGGTATTAGAGGATACTAGGGGCCCCTAGAGTGTACTAGGGGGGCCCCGCCAGGGCCCTTGTGGGCCCCCGCAGGGCCCTTAAGGCTTTCGAAGGGGCCCCTTGGGGCCCATCAGGGTTTTTGTACGGGCATTTGTATCCCCTTAAGGGTTTGTTGTTCGCTGTAAACCGTCTCAACTTATTTGTGAAGGTTTATGAGGGTTTACGAGGGTTTACGAGGGTTTACGAGGCTTTAAGAGGGGTTTAAGAGGGTTTAAGAGGGGTTTGAGGGTTTAAGAGGGTTTAAGAGGGGTCTAAGGGATTAGGAGGGTTTAAGAGGGTTTATAAGGGTTTAAGAGGGTTTATAAGGGTTTAAGAGGGTTTAAGAGGGTTTAGGAGGGGCTTTAGAGTTAAAGAGGGTTTAGGAGGGGTTTAAGGGTTTAAGAGGGTTTATTAGGGTTTATTAGGGTTTTAAAGATCTTTCTATGAGGGTTTATTGCGAGGGTTTATCAGGGTTTGAGGAGGCGAGGGTTTATGTGTAAACCCTCATAAACCCGCACACACTTTTATTATAAACCCTTATAAACCCTTATAAACCCTAACAAACCCCTATAAACACTAATAAACCCCTATAAACCCTTATAAACCCCTATAAACCCTTATAAACCCTTATAAACCCTAATAAACCCCTATAAACCCTTATAAACCCCTATAAACCCCTATACACCCCTATAAACCCCTATAAACCCTTAGAAACCCTTAGAAACCCTAATAAACCCCTATAAACCCCTATAAACCCTTATAAACCCTTAGTATTATAGACCCCTATAAACCCTTATAAACCCTTATTATTATAGACCCCTATAAACCCTATAAACCCTTATGAATGCTTTCTTTGCTTGTTGAGTTGTTAGCGGCGATGGTTTTCTAAGAAAATATTTTATTTGTTTTTCTGTATAAACTGCAGCACTGAAGATGCAGCTGTCTCAGCCTATTAATTTGTTTGTTCGTCTGTTTATTTATTTATCTCTGCCTAATAATTTATTCGTTCGTTTGTCTTTAATTAATTAATTAATTTATTTATTTATTTATTTTATTTGTTTGTCTCCGTCGCTCTTTACTTAACTCGCCCCTCTCTGTCTCCTATTCTCGTGTCCCTTACACTTTATATACGGGTGATGTATATATATATATATATAGAGAGAGAGAGAGAGAGAGAGAGAGAGAGAGAGAGAGAGAGAGAGAGAGAGAGAGACGAAAGTATATATATATACCTATATATATACATATATATATACCATATGTATATACATACATATGTATACATATATATATATATGTATGTATATACATATATATATACATATATATATATATATATATATACGTGTATTGGAGCGTTAGTATAATCAAAAAAATGTTTTCTAAGGGCTCTTTAATAAGTAAGTATGGTGTAGAGTTCGGGTGTACATGCAGCAGCAGGCGGTACAGCCGAAGTCCTCAGCGCAGCTAGCAAATAAAATAAATAAAAATAAATAAAAATAAATTACTGTTGTTTTGCTCTCTCAATATAAACAAAGACACAAAAACTCTCTGCCTGTACACCCCAGCCTACGATCTCCTTTAAGTGTTTGCCGCGCTCATTTTGTTTGTTTTGTTGCTTTTAAATAAAACAAAAGAAATAAATAAAAATATATTTTGAGTTTATTTATTTGTCTGACAGCAGCAGCAGCAATAATTTATAAGGATGTCTGTCTTAACCCCTGAGCCTCTCTTCTGTCTTGTTATTATTATTTTGAAGGTGCTGCAAATAAGATAAACTTTCTTAAATAGTATTTAAATGTATTAAATAATATAATATAATTATAAATATAATTATAAATATAATTATATTATATTATTATTTAAATATATAATAATATATAGGGGGGCTTAACAGCAGCAGACAGACGAACAAACCCATGCGAAACAGCTGCTGTATAATTCTTTTATTAAAGTGTAATATAATAAAATAAAATATAATAAATATTATAAAATAAATATTATTTATTTAATTTATTTTATTTCTTTAAATATTCAAACGAACAAAACAAAGTGCTTTAACTACTCAGACAGACATGCATAATTATATACATAATATATACACTCTCCAGCCCCAAGGTGCTTGACAGCTCTCTCTTTCTTTTGTTGTTTTGTTTGCTTGCTGCATTGT